CACACACACACACACACACACACACACACACACACACACACACACACACACACACAGTAAGCAAGTAGTTGCATGACAGAATATAAGTACATTAAAGCACATTATGATCGCCATGTCTGTGTTTGAACTGTGCAGGCTCAGAACTGTTATGTTAAATTACACTCAATTGAATCAGCTTAGATTGCTGCTGTGCCCATTTAAAAGGTGCTCAGGGGATTTGGAGATATACATCTACCCAACAGCCTGACGCAAAGCAGCTCTCGACTGGAAAGTACCACTTACATAACTGATAGGTTAAGTGGAAATGCCTCCCCCCTGGCTGCCACTCAAGAGTACACATATATACACACACACGTTGAACAGCTGTGTCTGTGTAGGACTGCTTTTAGCACACAAAATGATGGAGAGTGTGTCAACGTGTCTGTTTACCTGCTCAGCAGTGTCCCACTGTTCAGGCTCCCCCAGGCACGGCGTGGGTCGCGTAGACAGCAGGCAGTGAAAGGAAAACCCAAACACTTGATAGACGCTCCTCACAAAGTCCAAACAAGTCACAATCTCTTCTTCCAGCTGGGAAAAAAGAAAGAAAAGTCAGGAAGAGGTCAACATGAGGACATAATAATAACAGAAAAGTGTACACAGCTGAGAGACCAACAACAACTGAGAGCGTAAAAATTAAACCAAGATCGAATTTCTCAGGCTGACATAGTGGTGATCATCATGTGACCACCGTCTCTGAATTAACAAGGTGCAAACAGAAAGGCTGAAGGAACAGTATCATGGGAAGGCTGCAGGACTCCATGTAGGGGATCAGATTTACTGCAGAGCCACAAAGGCTTACATACGGAGGTGCAAAGTCTGAAAAGGACAAAGACCTTCATTCATCCACGCTAAAGCTTCCTGGAATGTCTCAGGAGTCATTTACACAGCCCATCTAATCACTGAAATGCGGTTCCACGTGGGTCTCGTTTACAGCGTCTGTCCCACTTAAACATGCCTTGGTTTAGAAACGAGAGATCATCTGCCTGTTTGCGTACCTGTTCAGGTGTGCAAAATATGTGCGCGTCATCCTGGCAGAACCTGCGAACGCGAGTGAGACCTCCCAGAGCGCCGGAGAGCTCGTTACGATGCAGCGCCCCGAAGTCAGCCCATCGCAGAGGGAGCTCTCTCCACGAGCGAACACGCTGCTCAAACATCAGGCTGAACACAACAAAGGAGAGTCAGTCTCTGCAAAGGCACCCGAGCACAGGTAGGTATGGTGTGTGTGTGTGGGTGTGCTCACCAGTGTGCAGGACAGTTCATGGGTTTGAGAGCGTAGGTCTGAGAGTCCTCTGATTTCACAGTGAACATGTTCTTGCTGTAGTGCTCCCAGTGGCCAGAGCGCTCCCATAACGCAGTGCTGTATAGCGTTGGGGTCACGACCTCAGTGAAGCCTCGCCTTCGGTATTCACACTATGAGAGGTCAGGAAGGAAGGACTTGTGTGACAATGAGTGGAGGACAGGGTCAAATGGTCACAGGGTCAAACAGCAGAGACTTTAGGCTAAAAAGGCTGACATCCTGACCACTGACATGAACACGTATGACCTCAGCATTACAATCAGCAGAGCACGTGTTGATGCATGTTATTACGTTTAAATGGACAACATTCAATAAATACACACACTCAATGAACAACTTCCTGCATAAGCGGCATTTTATCATTATATAAAACCAACTAAGGTCACAGTTGGATTTTGAATAATCAAATTAAAGCTTGTGGGGCATTTTTAAGCGGTGTTGAAAAGGGCCGGAGCTCACTTAACAGTTTTTTTCTGCAAGCAGATAGTTCATTTGAACCATTATACAGTTATTTCGTGATTTTTGATTAAACAACTTTTGATGTACCACAAACAGGCAAACTAACTAGAGAAAAAATGTTTCCTGTGTAATGCTGTGTTCATTCTTTAAAGCCAAAACTAAGCAGTGAGAGGCCCAGGCCAAATATGAGGTTTGATGACATGTTTATCCACGACCCTTTGTCCCTGCGCTATATTCATACAGTTTCTTATCTGTAATGCTTTCTACAGGTGTAACAAGGCTGTGATGGTGCAGTTCTAAGGGATTCAAATATAAGCTCAAACAAATAATTCACCTTAATGAAGTCTGTGAGTGTGTTGTAGATGTGGGCTCCTTTAGGCAGAAAGAAACAACTTCCTGGACTGACTTCATTGAAAAAGAACAGCTCCTGGTCCTGTGGAAGAACATGAAAAGGTTCTTATTTCACTTTTTAAGATAGCATCATCTTCTGTACCCATGTACGGTTTCCGTCTTACCGTCCCGATGCGTCTGTGGTCCCGCCTCCTCGCTTCCTCCTGCTCCCTCTCCCACTCCTCCTTCTCTTTCTCACCTGGAAAGGCCACACCTAACAGTCGTGTCAAACCGGAGGACTCTGTCTGGTTGGCCAGGGTCACAGAGGACAGCTGGAATGGTACAGAGATGAAAAGTGGGGAGAAAATAATAGGTGAACATGGACGTGGCAAAAGAGAAAGTTATGAGAGGGACGGATGGCCGTGTGTTTCTAAGAGCCCAGAACAGAAATCTGGCCTCTGACAAACACAACATCCTGCTGCTGATATTTCCAGGCCCTTTCTGTTGTGGAATCCCAGTCTGCCCAGTGACAGCTTGGTATGGAAACTTTCCTCTCTCCCTGGATCAATATGAAAATTCCACTCACACAGCATGTGTCCCATCTGACAGAGAGCCACGAAGGTCCAAATAAAACAGATTTTAACTGATGAGATGGCACTGCTTCTTTCATTGCAGTCATATAGTGTTTGAGTGTGAAAAATCGTGATAGCACTGCCATATGAAATACAGTTTTCATAGGAATAGAACAAATTCTTGAGTTAAGAAAAGCAAAACAATAAAATACATAAACTGGCAGTGAAACACAAAAAAAAGAAAACAGAAAGACAAGCAAAGGACTGAATACACTGACTTTATACACAAACACATACCTGCAGCATCTTGAAGACTGTGAGGAGGCCTGTGTGTGGGAGGAGGGGGCCGTTGCAGACCGCTATAGTGTCTCCACACCTGAGCCACACAGAATGGTTGAAACCAGTTAATTTACTGGTGAGTGTTTTAAATCACTGGCAGGTAAGAAGTTTTCCTACGTGCCTGTATACTGTGACAGTGGCGCCATTCATCTGCTCTTCAGCAAACTGCAGCCTCAGCTTACTGCTCTGTAAGAAGAAAACACAGAAAACCGATTTTAAGTTCAACATGGACACGAGGACAGACAAATATCACAGCTGGACTAAAAACAGGAGTCACACTTAAAAAGCGAGTAACATAACTGCTATTCACATCCTATCAAAGGTTACTCAGATATGCTTCAAGCCAGCATGGCACAATGCTGCTACACCACCAGTGTTTTTTTTTAAAGTGGAAATAAATATAAAATAACAAAACTTTCCTGCTTCCTGGCGTAATATAAGCTGGTGCATTAAAAGTGTGAGGAAGGAGCTTGAACAGCTATGCCACAGTGATTTGATAATTAAGACTTACCTCCTCTACATAAAGAATTAAAGAAAGATGTGTCAGCACTGAAAATGTCTGTCATCAATATTATATTATAACAAACAGAGCATGTTGCAGACCTGGAATAGCTCTTGGACTTCTTCTATACTCAGCTCCAGTCTAGAGAGAGGAAGTTTGAGTGCTGCCGCCTCCTTACACCTCGCCTCCACATCACTCAGAGACAAAAAACTGTAGATGAAGTCACATTCAGGCAAAACTTCAGCTGCAGTTTAGTCAGAATCAGGAGCATGCCATACAGGTCAAACAGCCGGCACGAGTTACATAAGGTGGAAACGGTGTCATTAAAGCAGCACATAATAATGAACAGCTATACACAGCATGCATATAAATACAATTTAGTAACTAATTAAACTCATGAATAAAAAATATACACTTTATTTGAAAGGTCAGGATTTTTTTTCCTTTAAAACAAAAAGAAGCTGAAAAACTGAAATAACAACCATCATGTAACTACCACCACCTCTTTTGCGAGCACACAAAGATGAAGTTTTGACAGAGCTCATATCTGATAGATAGTAATCACCTGTTGTCCAACAGGTAATCACAGAAAAGCCCGAACTCTGATGTTCCTTCTCTGCACACCTCAGCACCAAACATGCCCTCCAAGACTCCACCGAGGATGCACGCCCCTGTTCTCCAGGCTGCCTGTGAAATCAAGGGTCGTAATGAGTGAGCGCCAAAGACATCTACACTGTACTTTTGGGATGGTAGATTAAAACAGCAAGGAAACACAAAGATGCTCTCATCCCACTACTGCTGGTCCCAGTTAAAGTGTCGTTTCAATTTTTGTTTGCCATGTTACATGGCATGTTAACATCTTTATTTATTTTCTAACTTATGATGATGCTGAATGAGGTGAGAAAATGTTTTTAAAACAACCTTCAAAACTAATTTTTCATCAACATCACACTTACAGGTCAAATAGGGGAAACTGCACATACTTAAAGGAAGTTAACAGCGGGGAACTGTGTAATTACCTGCTTTCCCTCAGTTGTATCAAACCCCAGAAGTTGTAGTTCACAGTCTGCCTCTAGGGGTCGTCCAAGCTCCCAGAGTTCCCCATTCACCTTACTCACCAGGGCTCCTTTCAATCTGAAACAACACGTGCAAAAGCACAGTTATATCACGACAGTTAAACATATTAAACCAAACAGTATAAACTGGGTACTTACCTCACACTCCGAGCAACATAGAGCGGTGTGGTGACACCAGCTGTTCCCTTAACTATCCGGCCGTCAACCAGCCGGATACGGAGGGGCATTTCTGTCGATTCAAAACGCTTCCCATTTCCACGTTTTTCCCTGAGAGCCTCAAAGATCTGCAGTCGTTCAGATAAGGCGGGAGATGCATTCACCTGTAAAGCAAAAAATAAAGATTTGGTTTGAAATTATTTACAAGAAGAAAAGGACAAAAGAACTAAAATCTGAAGATGACAGAAAACCTGTCAAATAAGACCTCCAGAAATTAAGTGCATATGCAGTAAAGCTAAGAGAGACAGACAAGCATTTAGGATTTTAGCAACACAATAATATATTCTGAACTTATTTTACTGCCCCAACAGAATGAGTAACATAATGCAAAGACATACACAGGCATAGCCCCTCAATATGTTTACCTTACTATTTAGCTTACACTGCACAGACTCATCACTAATATGCATGGGATGGACTAAATATTTGAAACACCTGTCAGTTTAACGCAGTCAAGGCTTTTCCAAACCAGCTGTAATAACACCTTAAGACAATTCTTCATCTATGAAGGGTATAAAGGACTACTTTATAAGACTATGGAGGTGTTGGCATGACATAATTAATGAACTGGAATGGATTTTAAACTTGTTCAATTAATTAATTAATTAATAAGCCATAATACCTTTAATCACCATGGCCCCAAGGTAAAATTAAACAGAATTAACATTTTAGGAATAGCCTTAAAGAAAATCCAAAAGTTTTTACCCATGTATTATTATATCAGTACTTGTTTTAGTTGGTTATAACAAAAAAAACAAAAAAAAAAACGTAGTTAACTGACCGTAAACAAAAAAAAACTCTATAGACTTTTAGAAAAAACAAAAACTAACTTTTCTTACAAAATTTCCATAAAGTCCTCAGGAAGTCCACAAAGTTCTTTGTTTTAGTACTGAGCTGATTTGTCAAAACAAAAAGCATCAGGGCCCTTTTTTTTAAGTTTATTGTAAATGAGTCTTGTTCGTATTGTAATACTGGTTGTCAAAATCTTGTGTCAGAAAAACATGATTATTATTATTATTATTATTAATAATAATAATAATAACAATAATAACAACAACAACAATGTTAACATATTTATATCAGCAAAAACCAAAGAGAAAAATCCAATCTCGACAGTAGCTGATAATTCAATATGAAATAAATATTTAAGTTGAATTAAAAACAAAGTTATAACTTTGCATTCATCACCATTTCCCATACATTAACAAACCGGGTATGGCTATCCAAAAAAAAGCCAAAACATGAAACAAAATTACGATAAAACCGAATTAAAAGCACATTAATCTTAGCTACCACACGACAAATGTGCCCATTAGCACATTTAACAGACAGGAGCATCAACAGCAGCACACAACACTCACTGAAAACACAGTGCTGCTTGCTAACGTTAGCCTCACTCAGTGCACTGCTTTACCGCACCTTGCTGTACTTCCTCTGCGCGCAAAGGGTCGCACGAGCTGTCGAACGACAGGTAACAAGCCGAAGCAGCTGCGTCACCGCCATACCAAACACCCCTGCCTAAAACAACCGCTTCATTCACCATTACCACATATAACTGTCCCCTTCACTGCAAGCGGCCATAACACCGGAAAGCACGGGTTACTGGCAGCAGCGTTGACGTAAAGACTGAAAAGTTATGACGGAGCTCCGTCTCAGCGTGCGCGCTCCTGACATCTACGCCAGGGCGCGCAATTAAACGCAGGGGAAATAGAAAGAGCGCGATGGGGGAAAACATCTCTAGCCTTCAAAAATAAAATTACGCACTGTCCGGTCAGGCGCTTCAGGCTGGAGTCACATATGCTGAAATTTACACGAAACAGCGCATGCGTCGACAGTTCTCGTTTGTGGAGAACACTGGAAAACTGTGTTTGAGAGCTTGCGTGCAAAACAAAGTAATTTCAGAGAAGCACCGACCTGCTGCATCACGACGGGCCCACAAGCTGAGCAGCAGAATCGGTGCTCTTAGCTTCCCGAGCCTGCTGCAAGTGTGCATCAGTTTAGTGCCCAAAGTACAAGTTTATTTTAAAACACGGAGGGAGGAAAGATGAATACAGTTTGACTTTCACCGAAAACCACATTCACTGCAGCTCTTATTAAAATAAGGGACATATTTTAAACCCTGCCCTCTACAGACTCGCTGTCAAAAGCTCTAAATAATTTTAATTATAAAACTATTCACTGGCCGTTTAATTTTGTGAACAGACTTAAAAAGCTGAGAATATTAATAAACAAACCAGCTGATTCTGAAAAGGAGCGTCATTATATTTTGGATTTAGAAATTGTGGGTAAAACAACCCAACGGAGAGATGAAGCGGCTTCATCAAGGACGACTTAAAGACTACAGCAGCCGAAGTACTTCTGCTCTGCCGCTTGGGGGAGCTACAGCTCTATGAGAGAAATCTACTGGACTTTACAGTGTAAATACAGTCCATTCAGCTTTAAATTACCCCAGCAATTACTTGGTGACATCACCTTAATTAGCAGATTAAACCATATTATAGGTAAGGTTTTAAAACTGTGTTTGGTTTAACATCATGTCCATGTTAAAATTAGGTAAAAGCCTTTTGCAATTAAAATGCTTCACACGCCACATGTCTGTTGGCCTCTATAAGGGCAAAAAGTCGATCTAGTATTTTCCCTAAAGGTTCAGATGTCTTAATAAGCACTGAAGACCTTACATTTCAGCTGTATGACATTTTAAAAGTTTTAGCAGCAGATTAACAGGAACAGGGGCCCTAATGTGTAGCAGAAAATATCCACAACAAGAATAAATTATCCTGCATCATGTTAAATTAAATGAATGTAAAAAATAATTATTTGCTGAACACTGTGCAGCCACTGTTTGGTCTTACTGTGGGCATATTAATTACACACTAGAGGTGAGTCATCACTCAGTCACAATGTCTCAAGTGAGCTCTGCAAATATGGTCCAGAAATAGGTACAGGGTTTTTAAATGAACTTGAGTGTAAAGTGTGGCTTTCCAGCAACAGTGTGTGGTGTAGTGTGCAAGCTTTTTTTTTTTTTTTTTTAAAAAACAGAACGAACCAAAACAACAAATACAGAAAATGGCAAATGGAGCAGACTGATTACAGTCTGTAAAGCAAAAAAAAAAAGGATTTGCCAATATGTGAAGGCTGGTTTAAGTCAATTCATTAATGCACTGAAAATGTTACCCCTCTAATAGTTTTGATCCTTAAAAATAATATCATAAGATATAGTTCCCCCCTTAAGTATGCATATATTCACTGTGACAAAAATAAAAGCTGCAGAATGTGTGCATGTTCATCACACCAGAAAAGATTGGACACTCAAAGGGCGGTGATATAGCATCATTGATGAGAACAGCAGTGAAAGCAGTTCAACTTATATATATACACACACACACACAAACAGGCTGGTAGTTTTGTCAGTCATTTTCAATTGGTCAAACCAAGTTATCTTAAGGTCACGAGGAAGCGACGAGAAGGTGAACTTGAAGATGTTTTACAATTATTCTGTGTGCAATGTGAACACTGCAAACTGATTATTAGCTGCTCCTACATGTGACTGTGAAGATAACAATTTACAGAGGGTGGTAACAGACGTATAAACATTCAGGAAAACACCAGTGTGCCAACGCTGTAGTGACAAATATGCTTTGTGGTTACATTTGGGTATATTTTTTAAACAATGTATTCAGAGGCTTTATGCAGGAAGGTTTTCAGCATATTGATAAAACTGTAATTTCACCACAGCTTCAACACACACTTGAATCAAACACTAGAGATGTGAGACCACTGCACCTCTGACTTGTAGAGGTAAACTACTACCAATGTATGAGAGAGGTCAGTATTATGGAAACAATTTCTGGACAAGAGGGAGCATTAAGGCCATCGTGCTAATCTTTTTCTCCGTTGTTATTTTACCTCTTAAAAGTGGTGAGAGGTGCACAAGTGTTTTAGGGTGAAGCCCATGTGAGCACAAGGTAAGCACAGACGCTTGAAAGCAAAAGCATGAAATTAGCAATATAGAGAAAAGGGCCAAAACAATTGGAAGTATTCAAATGAACCATTTTACATGCAATCCTAATTAGCTTAAACACCATCTGTGGGTTCCTACAAATGGAAAAGCATCAAGTCTACCTAGCAAGAAAGCACAGCTGAAAAACAAAGGCTTTAAATGTTAATGTAATGGTAGCTGTGCAAATGCATGAGAACAATCTGAAAGGTAAAGTCAAACAGCGCAATTCAAGTGATGGATAGTGACCAAATAAAAATACCTCCCCCTCCCAGTTGAATTGAAACTCTGGATTTTATTCAAGAGTACATATTGAAGCCTAGCAAGGGTGTGGTTCAAAGTCTAATACTCCCTCCCATCCCATCATCCACTACTGAGTATCTTCATGACTCAGTCTAATGTGAAGCGCGCACAGGTAGACATTTATATATAGGAAATAAAAATGCATAATTATCTTCAGCCTCCTCTTCTGTGCGGTGGTTTCGCAAAAGGAGGACATAAACACATGATAGGTACTGGAGAGAAAATCTTCTGGGCTAAAGCTTATCCAAGGCCTCGATCACAGTAAAGACGGGGTGCGTGAACAACGATCACTGTCCTCATGTACAGAGATAATAGCTTTTTTTAAATAAAAAAAAAGAAAGAAAAAAAAGAAAGGGGGGGGGGCTATGTCAACTCAGTCTTTATATTTACAAGCTTAGAAATATACAGTGAGAGTGACAGAAGGGTGGAAAAAGGTTGAGCAGAAGAATATTATTTACAGCGGGTAGTTTGGAAATAAGTCTTAATCTCACCTGAAACACAAATCACTTCAAATCTCTCTCTCTCTCTCATGGAAGAAGAGATTACTGTCATGAATTCAATCCGACATTTTTGTTTTTTTACTTTGACATTTTTGGGAAATGCAGTAATTCTTATTCATCTGTTAAATATGATGCAGACACAGATGAGCTTAGCAGAGTACAAAGACTGGAAGTACGGGCAAAACAGCTTGGACTTCTTGAAAAAAAATTGTGACTTCTTAGAGTTGTGCTGTTGCTGTGAAATTTATCTCAGAAGTCACTGCATGCTCATTATCCCCTGTAAAAGGTCCGTTTTGTATGGGTGAAAGAAATTAGATGTTTTTTTTCCTGATCTAGCTTTCCAACCGTTTACAGTTTTTATGTTAAGCGTCATCTACAGCATGCTGGAGATGAGTGATATTGAGCTTCATTACAAAACAAAAAAGCCAACAAACGCATTTCCCAAAAAGCCAAACTACTGCCCTGTTTTTCCTCAATATCATGAGACCCATCTTTCTTTTATCCAGCATCTCTCTTCTCAGATTAAAAAAAATAATAATAATAATAATAAAAAAAATATCACACAGGAAAACTCTGAAGCCCCTTTCAGACACGCTCTCATTTTCAATTATCTCTTGTAACTTGTTCGCTTCATGTCTGAATAAGCATTCTAGTCACTTTTCTATAATTTTACTAAGTGGGATCCAGTACAGTGGTAATATTCACAATTGCGCTATATAACATAGACATCGTATTTTAACTGGATTAACTTACGTTTCCAGCCTATGAGGGAGGGGCAGGAATAGCCATCACTTGCTACAGCACAGACATGGACATAAATATAAAGACCTCTATTTTAGGGAACAATGGCTAAGATAAGTAATCTTCACAAGTCTGTGGATAAGACTTCAATGGATGCACATAATAATCCAGTATGGCAATTCCCATGTAGCTCATGGTTATGTCCCTAAGCCATGAGGAACATTAACATTAAAAACAAAGCGACCCATGTCTGAATGACAGAATGCCGTCACTGTAACAGACGAACGAAGCCACCAGCATGTCTGAAAGGGCTGAAATGTAGTTTCATTTTTCTTGAACTATTTTGCTTTTTTCTTCTTACAGGTATGCAATTCCTGCAACAGAGCGAATGAAACTTGTGCACGGAGAATTGTTGTGGGGGAAAAAGAAAAAAGATTATTGGTTGTTACATAACAATCTGCACTATGAAACTGATAACCTCTTAGCTTTACTGTGCAGTGTTAGATGACTGGCTACCTGGCTGAAGCAAGACAATTTAAATCAGCTATTTACACACAACCTAAGGTAGTTTTAATTCAAGCTAATTAACAGAGTAAAGATATCTGGGCTCATACCAGCAGGGCTAACACACACACTGCACTGCTAGATGTGTGGCTTGCACTTCTCATTCAGCTTGTCGCAGATGACCACTTCAGTAGCGTGGGGGTAGGAAAGGCCTCTTCTGTGCATGCAAGGGACCACCTGTGAATGGAGGCCCAGGGCGCTTTCCCCCACGAAACCCCCCTATGGGTAGATCTTGATTATGCTGCTGAGGGTTTCGGCCTCGCAGCAGGGACCTCTGTGAGATGGGAACGGAGAGGATTGGAGGCCGAGGAGTAGGCAAGGTGAGGAGGGGAACAGGGTTAGGGTTTTGGTTGCGGGGCTGCCCTGGAGGACTAGCAGAAGGTTTCTGGAGAGGAAGGGCAGCGGACTGGGTAAGTGAGCGCGAAGGAGCAGTGTCAACTGCAGGGGAATTAGGTGTGGAGGGTGAGGTTGCAGATGATGTGGGAGAGGGAGACGGGGATGGAAGAGGTAGATTCAGAGGCTCCTTCACTCTACCCAATAAAGGTGGAGGAACACCAGGGGTACCTGGACGGTGGAGGGGGGGTGCATGGCAGAGAACAAAGGGCTCTTTTACTGTGCCGGGGCGGGGAAGCTTAGGGGGCTCGCCTAGCAACGATGACATGAGGGGTGGGGGGGCCACTTTGCCTCCTCTTGGCCCTACTCCACCTCTCTCTGCAGCTTCAGGTCTGACTGAGTGAGGAAGTGGCAGAGGCCGGTCAGCAGGGACCATCACCCCTCCTACCATGACTGCAGTGGGTACAGCAGGGTGAGTAGGTGGAGGGGAATGGCGCTGTGGTATTGGGGGTGGAGGGGGTCTAGGGATTGCTGGAGGTGTGCTGAAGAAGGGAGATGTAGGAGGAGGAACTTGGTGGAGGTGTGATGGAGGAGGAGTCTGGATGTTCTCTGTGTGGTAAGGCAACTGATACTGAGTTTGAGGAAGATGAGGAAGGGGCGGAGGGGGGTGAAGATGTGGGGGGAGTAGGAGATGTGGGGGAGGAGGAGGCATAGAGGGGGTCATGTCCTCTGTGCCCCCTGGGCCAATGTTAAGAGGAGGGGGGACAAGTTGTGGTGAGGGAGGCTGAGCTTCCAGGTATCCTTCCTCTTCATACCACATGGCTCCTCCTGGTCGACTTCCAGGTCCTCCTCCCCGTCGAGAGCCTCGACCAATCACGCGTATGCTCTCTACTGTCTTTATGCGCTCTCCAGTGAGCGGTCTATTAGAGTAGCCTAGAGTTTGAATGGGTGCCCCTTCGGTGCAGGGTGACACGAGTGTCTCAATACGATGGTATTGCCCCTCCTTCCCATCTCCACTTGGAGACATTTGACCTTTTAACTTGTCTTCTTTTTTTCCACACTGACCTCCTTCATCTGAACCAATGCTTGCCTTACGAGAGCCGGCATAGGGCCTCCTCTCTCCCATTGCTCTGTTGTTTCCCATCATCCTTAGCTGACTTTGCTGATCATCCTTCTTACCCTTCATGTCATTACTAGGAGAAGAGGAGACCAGCTTCCTCACATGCATCACTTCATTGTCTTTTAATTTTGTGCCGCTCTTTCTTCCAGCGCCATATCGGGAGGTGGGCAGGAAGTCTCCATCATTGCCGCTTCCCGACGGGGTGATAGCTGCATCCCAGGGTTCATTGCGGTAGGCTGTGGGTGAGAGGTTATGACCTCCAGATGAGCCCACAGATTCTGGCACACTTGCAGGTGTGTCCATAATCTCATCCTGGGTTGGGGTGCCGGCTGCCTCGTCTCTCACTGGGGTCCCATCCACCCCATCAGGACTAACATCACCAAGAGCGAGACTAAAACCTGGATTACCCTGCAGGAAACTGTTGATTTTGGATTCTAAGCTGGGGGGAGAGACAGAAGGAGCTGAGGGGCGAGGGGGGGGAGGTGGTGGAGGAGGAGGGGACAGTTGTCTCTCTCTCCCCCAGTCTCTGATTCTTCCAGGTGTTTCTCGCTTGTGGCTGTTCCCCAGACCAGCTTTCGTTTTTGGGGTAGTTGGGGTGGTCGGGGTGCTGGTGTGCAGAGCTTTAGAAGGTGCTGATTCTGGGGAGGTTCGTGTACCAGCAGCAGCACCAGAGGTGGTGTTAGTCACACTATGCAGGAAAGAGGACAAACCTGACAAAAACAAAGTGTGACAAATATTGAAACAAGGTCACTTCGTTAGTTATTCTTAAAGAAATTCAATAAGTCAAATATATGGATCTTACCTGTTGTGTTGGTTTTAGACAGAGCATTAAGTATCCCTTCAGGTGTGATATCAACACGTGACAGGATACTGGCCAAGGCAGGGCTTGGAGGGGTTCCTTTGGAGGCTGCTGATTGGCCAGATGGGGTTGTGGGTGTCCCAGGAGATGGACGAGGTGATGGGCTTGCTGCAGAGAGAAAGATCAAAGCAGCCCCAGAAATTTAACAAAATTATTTTAAATGTACTGAATCAAACAAAACGTCTTAGACTGGAAAAAATGTTCTGTGTTCCAACAATAAATTGAAAACAACATTAAAGTTAACCAGCAAGTATGAGCTGCATGGTCAACAACTGACTTTGCTCATTAGTCTGTTCCACAGAGATCCCCTGTTGTCCAGACATAATTAAAAAAAAACAACAAATCATTGAGCTACGCTGGGTGATGTGCGTCTTCTTTACACAGAAAAATGTAATGGCGGCTTATTTGGAAATGGCTCCACAGATAATTAACCACAACCACTTTTACAGTTTCCAAGAGAGTTGTTCATGTAATGCAGAGGTCATTACATATTCCTGGAAATACTGTTAACATTGCTTCACTAACCCATTGCAGGCTCTTGAGGGAGGGCTAAAATGAGTGAGAAACATAAGCACATTTGTTGATAATATTCAAAAGACTAAAAATCTGCAGTCTTATGCTTTCACTTGGCTCCAAGACCTTGCATCATTTAGTGGAAGTTTCAGAAAGATTTTTTTCCAGGATGGATCACGCCAGTTAGTCTATTATTTCAATTAGCATTTCATATTTTGTGAGCACAGTCAGGGTTGAATAACATCTAGATTCAAGTCTGAAAAGATAAGTGATCAATGTAGTTAATTCTAGCACATTCAATTGAAAATGTTGCAATGAATACAAATTATTATAAAACAAAAAGTACAATCAGAAAGTTCTAGAATTAAGCACATGGGGAAAAAAATAACAAAAATATATAGTGGCGGCTGCCAGTTCTACCCTTCAGCTTCCTAGTAAATGCACCTATGCTACAAACTGGAAAATTAGGTGATTTTCAGATAACCTGACCACTGACCCTTAACCTTGATGTTAAGGTCACTGACATTAAAACTCATCTGAGCTTTTCAGTAGATGCACCTACAGTATGAACTCATTCTCGAGTTATTGCATTCACAAACTTGGGTTTCTAAACCACCTGCCCACTCAGCGGAGTGAGAATGAAGCTTTTATAGCAGAGAGGCTTTAAAAAACAAACAAACAAACAAACAAACAAACAAAAAAAGAACCTAAAAATCTTCCTGGATTTAAAATCTCCCTTTCAAAAATCATATTCTCATCCATAGCTGATCATCTTTTAGGTCAGAACTTGGAAGTCCAGGTCTGTCCCCTTAAACGGCTCCTTCTGGTATGTATGGCCGACGGTGAACACACCACAGTTCAGTTCACGGCGCTTGCGCTAATGTTTTCCTTGACATGCCCTAAAATGTTAGAGCAGAACTTCACATTGACTCTCTGAAGTTCACAGTGCACAAACCTGTAACTGTCCTGATCTTACAAGTTTCAATATCATAGTCTCATCACCACAGATGATGGCCCACAAATGATGTTTGCTGTTGATGTGGAAAGTAGTCTGGAGGCACATAAGAAGCTGATCTTAGAAGGAAGATGGCCTAAATTAATATCAAGTAACACTTTTAAAGCCCGTCTAGTCCTGGATTTTTTTTTTATTTTTTTTTTTCTTTCACAAAACAGAACAGTTTGACTTGTTTTTTTAAATTTTGTCTAATAACCACCAAGCATAACACAGAAAGTCTTGTCCCTCTTCCACAAACATACCTGTATTCTTCATGGCGGAGGTTAGCGAGCTGAGAATGGAGGTAATCTTTCCCAGGTCCACCTTGGCCAGATTGACACCCAGAGGGGTGGCTGGGGTACTTGTAGGAGTAGCAGATGTGGAAGTCACTGGGGTGGTTGTGGTGGTAGTAGCAGAAGCATTGTTCTTAGAGGCCTTCGCAGGCGGATTTGGAAGCTTTGAAGGCGCATCTGACTTTGCAGCCTTAGACATGGCAGCGGCTGGCTTTTCTTTCTTGTCATCTGAGAATGAAGGAAATTCAAAGAGCTCATAGATTCTCAAAATTGAATCACAAGTTTGCAGCTTTGCAACTTTCTAATGAATTAATTTGGAGACAAAAAACTATATCATAGCACAACCACAGATCTAGGACACTCACCCCCTGCAGTTGCAGCATCAGTCTCTTCGTCAGACATATCCATGTCCTCCATGTCTCTGTTGTCACTCTGCATTTCTCCTTCATCCATGGCCTTTCCATCCAGATCTGGATCAAGCTGGGCTCTGCTAGCCACCATTGCCAAAAAGGGTGAGTCAGAGCCAGTGGGGGAGGGGGCATCTTCAGATGGTGAGGGAATGGGAGAGTCCTCAGGTCCAGGTAGAGTGGACTTGAGGGAATCCAATTTCCTTTTAAGACTGGCCACACGATTGGCAAATGCGTTGTAAGCCTGAGGAGAACGTCGAAGAGAGAAACAAAATTAAGCTCAAACAGTGGAATAGCTGGATCACCAATCAATGAAATAAATTAGTTTTAATGTTTTAAATACAAATGCTTGAATATTTCCACTTTAAGACCAACTAACTCTAATTGTTTTGATATCTTTACATCTTACAAAAGACAACACCTACATTGGCCACAATCTTAACTTCCTTGTACTGCATCTCGTAGAAAATATCTGCGTTTCCCAGAGCCTCCAGCAGAGGAGGTCCTGCTTTCAACTCTTTCTCCAGGAAGCTGACAAACTCCTGCAGCTTCAGGCTGCCATCCTCAAAGTCCTTGGCAAATTTGTTCCCCCCTGCCTTATCTAACACAAGAGACAGTTGACAAGCAAGCCATTAAACACAAGGTTTACTCAATTTTTAACAAGTTAAATCAGAAAAAAAGCTAACAGAACAGTCAGAAGGTCAGTGCTGATGCCGAATGCATCAGGGGAAGAATAAATAAATAACACTTTTTTTCAGAGAACTGCATCCCGCTTAACAAGAATAATCCATTGACCTATCCATGAACCCTTTTCACCGATGCCATTCTCAGAAATGGTACATGGGCCTTTTCAGAAATAAGATGCAAAGACTTAACAGCCATTGTTTACGGTGTGTGTTTAATGTGTGTACTGGCTGTACAAGAGCTTTCAGCTGAGGCTAGAGAAAAACTTACCAGTACTAAAAAACATTTCAAATACATGTGGAGAATTCAAATCTCCTCCACATGTAATTTGTTTAAATCATTTCATTTATAAGCTCAGATATCAGGGAACTAAGCACAGTTCATTAGTGAGTTTTGCACTGAGATGTTTAAAACAAACAAACAAACAAAAAAAACTCCCTGGTGATAAAGCTGAGCTGATGCATTTCAGAATGTGAGAACACAAATGTCTGTCCCAGTCAGACTGGTCATTACTTGGGTTTTTAACCTGCACTGTGGTTTCAGATTGTGTCAGTATGCAAGCAGCACAACTAATAGTCCCGTACGTCCACCACAAGCTAGTGCTAATCACGTGTTCTGCTGCCCGCACACTACATCAGGGAGCACCCTCGCTTAAGATAAGATAGATTTCTCTTATTATGAGCATGTCTTAAGCAAACAGTTTCCTTCAGTGTGCTGCATGTCATAAAGGACAAATGTTGAAAGATGAGACTAAATTTTTAGATTCTGTAACATAGCTGAAGCAGATTAATTTACAATAAAATACAAAAGTAAAAGCAACACAGCAAATATCAGATGAAAATGAATTGGTTCACTTTAACAAGTGCAACAATTTGAGTTGTTGATATGAGTATAAAGTGTTGTGACAGTGAGGGATGTGTTGCCTTGTAGAGAACTATTTTAAAAGGACTTTAGGTACAATTAAAGTACAGGTGTGTTGTCTAAAACCATCACAAGTCCATGTTTTTATTGTTTGTTTTTAACTTTAGCCTCCATGCCCACACCAAAGGCCTGTAAGAAGCCAGGAAGACCCCTGCTAGTGATATGTATACTTGTTTTGACAGGCTATGCCAAGGACATAAAAATCCTGTATATTTGAGACTTAAGACAAAGTACAGAAGACAACAGGTGTGCACTGATGTACAAATAAGCCCAGTGACATCTGACCTTTAAGTCTCTTGAGGGCCTCCGTGCTGCAGACATCCACCCGGAGAGCTGACAGCTGCTTTTCTTGAAACTCTTCTTCGGCAACAGCTTGCCTATATTTTAACAATTGTTCAATGAGGGAGTGGGGCTAGAAGAGAGAGAGTGCAGATGATTTAACATCACAAGATGTTGTTATATCGTGGTTGATTTTCAGGCTTTTTAGAAAAGAAAAGAAAAGAAAAGAAAAGAAAAAAGAAAAATCCAGGAAAACACAAAGAAGGCCTACCGTGAACTCCGCCACAATCTTGGACTTCAGGGCAGCTTTGGAATTAGCAGGAGCTAGAGAGTAAAAATAAATTACTTTAAAAACACTGTAAGGTATCTGGAAATATTCCAAACAGACAGCGTTAACTTAAGGATGATTTAGTAACCTATGCCCACACTAATACGTTTTCAGCAGTGCCCACACTACCTCAGTATTTTAGCACCTCAAACGGACTTTTCGTTAAACTGCTGACTTTCAGTTTTCTTTGAACAGCGTTTTCCCACACACATACTTTATTCAGCAGCGCCACCAAGTTATATTTTAAAATTTATTGAAGCATTTTTAAAATTTATATTGCTCATCAATGTACAAATTTAATAACTATCAACCTACAATACTCCCAATTACCAGCAGGTTGACCAGAGGAGTGTACTACCAAACAGGAATTGAATTTATTGAGGTAGGTCAAGGTCACTGAGACTTTAGTTTTTAGTTTGAAAAAGTTTCGGAAATCCTAGGTGACTATTTCTCAAGTTATCGCATTCACAAACTTGGGAGTTCATGTTGCCTGCCCACCTGCCCAGTAGGGTGCCGACAATATCCTATCAGCTTCTTATGGATGAGGAGTAAAAAACAAAAACAAAAAAAACCTATTTCATCCATCCATCCATCCTCAGAGGCTGGGTTGCAGGGGCAGCAGCTTAAGCCAAACCCAATACCAACTGTAATTAATCATATTCTCCCATGTCTTCACAATGTGTCTTTATACTCTAATAACTTGAAATCAGCAATTTTGCTTCACTTTCCTTCGTCGTTTCAAATAACCACGAAGTGAATAACTGACTTTAAAACCAACTAATTAAACATCCAGTATTTACAGCATAATATTTACAGCATTACATTGAGATTGTTAATTTCCTGTTTCCTGCTACCATGATGACCTTATAAATATATTTTAATATTTTTGAATAACATTTTCACCTTGTCATCATTTCAAGTAAAGAAAGTTCTGGTCTTTCTTTTTCTGGACATTGCTGTTCTTCCTAAGTAGTCATTTCTGCATCTACCATACGTAACGCAGTCATGCAATAAGAGTTTCCTGGCATGTTAGTAAAGAATATATAGTTTGGTTTAAAAAAACAAACAAAAAACAAAAACAAAAAAAACCACACTGACAAAACTCTGAAGTGACAAACTGACCATTTGCAGGTGTAGCCTCTTTTTCCTTTTCCTTTTCCTTGTCCTTTTCTTTTTCCTTTTCTTTTTCCTTCTGCTTCTCTCGCTCCTTTTCCTTTTTATTCAAGTTGGCTTTGAACTGGGCAATGACCTCCTCGGGATACACACTTCTTTCTTCCCAAATGGAAAAGATCCTTTCCACTGACCTGCGAACCTTCCCATCTCTAACAGAGTAAAATGATAAACAACACACAGACCTTAATACCTTTTCAGTGATAGGCATGACGGGTTAGAAGAGAAACAAAATGCAGTGATGGCTGGACAGTACCGTAGAACAAACACTATGTACTTACTTGATGAGCTGAGCAGCATTAGGAAGGACCTCTGAGAAGGCTGAACGAAAAACAATGGCATTCTTTCTTTTGCAGTTTTGTATCACATCGTTGGCAAGGTAGAAAAGATTCAAGCGGTGATTGTTATCAGCTGAAAAAAAGAAAAGCAGAGAAATAAAGGACTCAATCTGGAGTTTAGATCACTATTAGCCTATTTACACTAGTTTCTACTTGGTTTGACCCGATTCAATTTTGGTTGTTTTCCATTGCAATTGAGTACAACCTGAGGTGCGTGGGGTTGTGATGTCATTTGTATGCAACACAAACGGCACAACAAAGGAGGACATTGAGGTGATGTACGAGTTTCCTCATTGCAGGGTTTCAAAAATGGTGTTTTTGATTTTTGTCAAGGACATGCTGTCACGATTCATCAAGTTACACCACTGACTAGCCAGAGTTCAACCACTCTGGTGACTCAGTTACTGCAACTTTGCAACTGTTACCTTAACACAAAATTTCTGCTTTTGTGGAAACATGCACATCCAGTGAAAGCTGCTGCTGGATGTGAATGCAAGCCAACATTAGATACTGTGCTTACAGATGAAAGCAGTATACTTGAACGCCAACAAGGGAAAATAAACAATAAGGTATAGTCTTAGCCTCAGGAGCTAGCATTGCCCTCTTTTGCCGAAATGACTTCTGTACGTGTTTATTCACCAGTCTTTGAAAATTTTAACAAGCTTAAGTCAAAGTCTTCCAGAAAAAAATTCTTGAATGTATATCCAATTTCAAATCTCAATAAAACATTTAAAAAGAAATCAAATATGATTCAATTATTTTTCAAGTCACTTTTTAATCGCTCCTTGGTGAATTTTCTGACTCTGCTAACTATCATCCTCCTGCTGAAAGGCTCACCAATTTAGTCAACTTGAACTTTTGGACAGATGACCCGTGAAAGCCATCTGCAGTCTACACCAAACATCTCTAATGTTTCTCTGGCTAAACCACAACATCTCTGACTTATTTTACCGCATTACTGTAAGAGGCCTGGAAAACTGGAAAACTTTCAGTTACCATCACTGTAGAGATACTATAGCTACAGCAAAAAGCTGAAGATCGTTTCTTCTTGTGATGGTCTGGATTAGTCAACTTATGCATACGTTTCCATTTCAAGAAGGAATACAATAGTGGCAGGACACAATGAGTTTTGCTGCGTTAGGGAGTAAACAATACTACTGGTTAAATTCTGGATTTTGGGAAATAAATGTCGTATCTAAAAATATCTAAATCTCTTAATGTGGTTTTTACATTTGAATTAGACTGGATTATCACCTCAGTCTAAAACAGAAGCAGCCTTTTATAAACACAATAATCTACCAGTAAAAAATAATAACAATAAACAAGAAGAAAAGGAGGTGAAAGTATTTCCTCTGCCTCAGCTCTCACCTTGTTACCTTCCATTATATACAGCAAGCTGTGCCAAGATAACTTTTTGAGTTGCTGACCTTTTAATTAAACCCCCAAAAGTCAGCAAATTTTAGGCTGGTAAAACAAACCTTTAAAAACCTTTTTTAAGTAGTTTCTTAATAGCAATAATTAACATACAAAACACAATATTATGCATTTAAATTTAATTTGAAACTATTAAATCAGTTCCATCATAATATCAATTTTAAATATCAGTGAAACCTGTGGCACAACAGTAAAGACACAGTGTCAGTCTGTGACTAAGCACGAGGAGCTTGAGCAGCCTTCTTTCGCTGCATCTTAACTGCATCCTGCTGCAAAATGCTTTACAAATTTCTCCATTCAAGTGATTATATACCAGTTTACTCTGACACAACCATTCATTTTTCTACACTGAAACAGTGCTTGTTTACAACTTCTCATTAGTCTGGTGGTGGGTGCCCTTGTAACATTTTAAAACCAACATTTACTTATTGTTTTAATCCAATTTTAATAACTTTAACCCAGTAGTAATTCATGTGGCCATTAGTGAGGTCAGTTAACTAGCTCTACATTGCCCTGATTTGAAGGAGAGATGAGCTGTACAAAAAGGTCTTTAAAAATCTTTAACAATAGCTGTTCAACCTGAAGTCAAACTCAAAACAATCATCTCACTAATAAAAGGAATCTCTGTATGCATGTGTGGGATCATCTGTTTTTGCATACTGTTGTATAATCTACTTTGAACTTGGTATGTTTTTAAATAAGCAGCTCTCTCCCTCTTCCTTTTATAAATTTAAAAGATGTTTTCTGTTTTGCTTGCACAGCTAAAGTATTACCTATAGGTGAGGTGTTCAGGAAATTCTACATCAGTACCACCTATTAACACAAATAATTCTCAACCTGTGGAAACTGAGGTTGTGGCTTCGTTAAATCTCTGCATGTGCATTCCCAGTAGTGCTGTGACAGCAAGGAAGGTGAGTTTAACCACCAATTAATTAATTATCCTTTCACAACCAATGCTGTGCATTTTAGGAACGTGTAAATTGTAGGAAGAGAACTTAAGGGACAACATCTTTGTATGAAAATTAGTGAAAACACCCAAACAGCAAACAAATCAAATTTTAATTTGTGTGACAGGAGATCTTTCTTCAAACTCTAGGGCTGCTCGATTATGGCAAAAATGATAATCACGATTATTTTCACTGAAATTGAGATCTCGATTATTTGACGATATTTATTTAACAATAACAATGTATTGAATAATGACTTTAAAGAGTGTCAAAAAATAATATAAAATAGTGTGCAAATACTGATAACAGTGCAAATGTTTGCAATATAAAAAATAAATGAAAAATGTAAACATCTATGTTTAGTGAACTTTGCAGTGTTGCTCTGTGGTGCAGCTACCGCACTGTAGCAAAGTTTACACACTATGTCTACTTGAACCCATAATGTCAAATTTATTTAAATAGCACATTTAACACAGAGTTGACCACAGTGCTGTACCTTAAAGTATAGAGCCCGCTCCCAGAACTACATTAAAATACTTTGTGTATTATAGATCAAGATTTGTGTCTATTCTAATAAACTGAAAAACTGACTATACTATAATGCATTAAATTACAATTAGGTAAAAGATACAGTATTAAGCCCAAAAGTTGGAAAATTACAACAACAACAAAAATACTCAAAGTCTACAAAACTTCAATATGACAACAAAGCTTAAGAGTTTAAAATAAGCAGAACTGAACAGAAAAGTGAGACAAAACTGAGTTAAAAAAAAAAACCCAACTAAAATATAAATAAAATAAAATAAAACAAAACAAAACAGGTATCACAGTTTGACAGATTTCCTTTCTTAAAACTTGGCATAAAAACTGAATCAGCCTGAAAAAAAACCCCAACAAAAAACAAAACTCCACTGCCTGTTGTCTATGTGGTGCAGTAGTTGGTCTGAATTATCCATGACAGACACTTTTGCATCTAAAAAAAGGTCCCTCAAGCATTTTTATCATCGTCCACTCAGATCACACTGAAAAATGTTACTCATTACATGTATTGTGCTGCCTCACTCAAATGAGTAGTGAGAGACAACAGTTAAGACGGGTTGACCTCTCCATGACAGAGAGCATCTTTAGCATGGTTATCAGCAGCTGGGAACATTATCTCAAAGATAAGAGCAAGCCTCACTCCAGAGCATGTCCTCTACAAACGTGTATTTATGAACTGAATCATGTGTAAAATTTGGAAACTTGTCATTTTGGACCGGAAAAATAATATTTTTAATTTAATTTGAAGCTTGATTTGTACTTATGGACAAAAGTCATTTGGGTTTCCTTTTTGCACATTATTATTTTTTTGTTTGAATACTACTAGCACTTTAATTTGTATTATCTAATATTTTTATTTATTATTTTCAAATTCATATGTTTCCTGGGTAATTATTTTAATTTTCTGTGGGATGAGACAACAGGATGACAGTCACAGGTGGGCAGACTTGACCAGGTGAGGCACTGGAGCCTAGAAGAGAAGGTCTGCCCAACAGGACGAGGAGATGAGAATTACTGAAATAATCATTGACTAATCAAAGAAAAACTGGAAGATTATTCAACTACCAAAATAATCTTTAGTTGCAGCCCTACAACAAAGTCCCTTCTGATCAGTTTGCTCTGGTCTCCATCAGCACACAAAAGCTCAAATGGTACACAGCAGTTCATTTGTATTGTCAGCATAAGCTAATCTCATCATTGTTCTGTGGGCAGCCATGCAGGGTGGGAATTATAAAAAAAGAAAAAAGAAAAAGAAAAGAAAAATGCCCACATAGTAACTGGACTTAGCCACTGAAACAGAACGTCCCATTGGACAGATTAGCTTTCTAAAACACAGGGCCTCAGCCTGCAAAAGAAGAGCCTGCAGCAATAGTGTGTCTGCTGATTTTGTGTGTTTTCAGCACTTTTTTTTCTTTATTTATTTTCATACCAATAGATCACATGCTCAAGATTAGAAAACATGCTTAAATACTGATGGTTCATTTCAGCTTTCTAAATTTTAGTTCATGCTAACTTTCTTGCTGGAGTTTATGACTACTAGGGCTGTGCTATCATATATCATTCATGATAACACTGGTACAAATTCTGAAATGATATATTACTACAGAAACATCATTTGTTTTCTATTACAGAGTGTGCCCAACAACAGCATTAAGCCCAGGCATGTCTGAGAGTGAAAGCAATTGTTAGGATGATTAAGATTTAGTATGTGAAAAATTAGCTTCAACAACCTCCAACAATCTACAGTACTTTGCAATATATGCAAGAAAACTGTTTCCACTAAACGTGGAACACACACACACACACACACACACACACACACACACACACGTTTTTCTACTTGAAAAAAAAAACAAAAAAACATAAAGTACAACAACAGAATGAAAGAGGACCTGCTAGCAGCTGTGATGCTTCAACCAAATATAAACAAATGTCTCCACCGAGCATTGCTGGAACACTCGCTAGTTGCACTCCATATGACAGGATGAATATTACTTAGGCCGTTAAGCAGTTGGCTAAAAACCTAAACAGAGATAACATCCTAGGTAGAAAATATTCTTCAGTTTTATTATGCAGCAACTGAAGAGTTACAAAGATAAGTTTACTTAAAAAAATAAAAATAACTACACTAAACGTTAAGTAGTTATGTTACTTACAGTTTCCAGGAAAAACACTACCCAGGGTACATACGGGTTTACATGTTACTTATGCTGTGTCACTGGCTATAATGCTGTGAACTACAATGCTGCTACTACAATGACAGTAGCTCATTAAAACATTCCTGAAAGGTGCAGTGAACATTCCTGAAAGGATCAGGAAAGTCATCAACCAGGAACCAAATTTGGTTTGTGAATCTGAACAATCTACAACAGAAACAACAACACAGAAGCACTATTTCAATATGACTTTACCAGCACTTCAAGCATCTATTTCATTTAATCATGCATGCACCCACATAAATAAAGAAGCACAGAATATGTAGGGCAGTTGGCCTGCCTTGTTCTTCCCACACAACTCTACAAAGCTGATGAAATTTATTTACTGCAGGCTTAAAAATAACAATCAGCCCATAACCCATCAAAACCTATACAAATAAAGATAAAGGCAGCAAATGTATTTCTAATAGCAACGGATAAGGAGGGAGAGACTTATCAAATGTACTGTAGACACTTAAGGGGCACAAATTAAAGAAATGGGAGTGAAAAAACTAAAGTATATTGCAGAGACTTTGACTAGCTCTAAATAATACAAACAGGTGCAAATTTATATGGACTTGAGGGAAACTTTTAAAAACAGCATTACTACATTTTCAAAACATGATTCGGTTTGTTTGTTTGGGGTGGTTTTTTTTAAAGCAAAGAATCAAAGTTTTCAAACACATCTCATCATCATCCATGAGAATTTGTCACAAAAGCTCACCTAGCAACTGACCAAAATGCATAATCCTCCTCGGCTTTTGGGTGAGTTGTCTTTTTGTTAGCAAGATTACGCAAACAAACTACCAGGCCAAGGTGGAGAATAGGAAAAGGAAGAAGCCATTACATTTAGTGTTGATCTGAATTCGTTTCTTTAAAAACGCACGGTTTGGCATTGGCAGACAAGTGTGCTGATTAACTGCCCTTCCACTGAATTGCTCCACACTGTGATCCCGGCTGGTCTTATTAGATTTATTATGCAGGAGGATTCATAAAAACTCATAAGATACAAGTACATGGAGGGAGTAGAGATAAGAGTGCCGCCTTGAAATGTCAACATAGTGTTAGAGTGCAAAAGCAGAGATGACTGTAGTGACTAAGGAAATGCTTTCAAGGCTACAACTCTTCATAACTCCCTCTTGATAACTTGTTCTATTATGGAGGGCTCTTTTAGCATTTAATCAACACAACTAACTAGCAGCTATTTATTTTTTATTATTTGGCCATGCCATGTTTTGGGATCTAGAACTACATCCAATTTAGGGTTTTGGGGAGTGCTGAAGCCTACACCAGATGTCACTAGACCTTAATAATGTGAGTCCTTGACAGGTTTCCAGTCCATAACAGGACAAACACACAGAGACAAAACCATCCACACACACATCCAGTTTAAAACCACAAGTTAACCCAGCATGTATGTCTTTGGACTGTGGGAGGAAGTTTTAGTACCAGAGAACCAACGCATCCACAAGGGGAACATACAAAGTTAATAAAAAGCATAAGACATAAAAAGCAAGATCTATGAGCAATTGTGTTTCCAATATATCTGACATATTAACAAAATATTTCTGATGTAGCAAAATATTAGTATATGTTGATTTAAGAAAGCTACAATGATAAGACTCATGCCTCTTATGAGACCTCTTTACACTCAACATCTTAAATCGGAATTACTGGTACAGATATAAAATTTTATTATTTAAAAGTGCATTTCAGATATCTAGCATTGAGCTTGAAAGGCACAAAATTACATCCTTACTAGATAAAAGTTTAACCTAACTAGACAGGATTTAATATCAAACAACGTAACTTCTACTTCTAATGTAAGAACTGTTGCGCACGTGTACTCTGCTACTTAAGATATATTTAATTAGAAACCAGTCTAAACACGTTATGGGAATGTCAACGGGGATTATAACACGTCAGAACAAAATAATAACTATAACACATTTTAAACAGAAGCCAATAGTAAAGGGTGAGGTGCTGTAATTAAAGTGTATTACACGATATCTACACTGCACATACCCACTATATGGCATTATCGTTAATACTAATCTGACAGGAGATAAATGAAGTGTAGATAGTTTAAACGACGTTATCACCGTTTGTTTGGAAAGTTTGGAACTATAGCTAGTCTAGTTAATTTTGCATTTTTAGTATAAATGTTAAATGAGCTTGTCGGTAAAAATTAATAATATAATAACAATGAAAGGGACATACGAGTTTAATTTAAAGTGGATCGCTCCTTTATCGCTTCACGCGTCCCCTAAATAAACTATGCTCGATACGACCAGCCGTCAGGAACAACTCAAACCACCATGCACCAACTAAAGCTAACATGCAGCTGATTAAATCCGTCTAAAAATAATATTTTTTATCATGTTTGCTCTTCGGCTTAAAAGCGCAGTGCCGTGAACCCCGGGAGGCCCGACTGTAAACATCGCTAGCAGTAGCTTTGCTAACATTAGCAGCTAATTTCAAGCAACGGCAGCGTTAGCTTATAAATATGCTGCATATCAAAAAACTTGAACTTTGTTCAGGGGGTAAATTATTGCTCTTTTGTGCACTAAACAACTTTGTCCCTAACGCAATAAACTGCAGCCGAGTTTTGCAAACTGGTAGCTGGTCCAGACAGAAATGCATTTGAAAAACGGCTAAAATGCGCTAGCTAGCGGATTAGCTTCAGTGACAAGCTACTCACATTTCTTGAGCCACTTCATCCAGTAGCGGACGATAAGGCTGTGATGTCTCTTGTTTTCAATGCACCAAGCTGAAAGTCCTTGTATTGACTCCATAGTGTTTGAAACTCCCTGAAAACGCCGGTCCAAAGACGCTTCCAGAGCAGCGGTGGAGCTGCGTGAGCCGTGACCACTTGCAGCCCCTGAACCGGCCGCCATCTTTCCAACTCTGTGGTGCTGCTGGGGATGGAGGAGCTAAACTAATGAGGACTGCTGGGGGTAAAACACGCCCCCTGTTTTACTTTATTAGGAGAGCAAAACTAGAGCTACAAGCACAAGCGCAAAAGAAAACAGTGCACTACCAAAACCTAATATATAGTTTATATATTAATAAAATAATTCAGTTACAGAAAATATCTTGGAGGCGGCGCTTAAAGTTGGTTTATTTGAGATGGTCACTGTACAGAGAAATATAGCAACAACTGAGTCAAACTCCTTTTACCTAAACAAAAAAACTAAACACATTGAGGCATTTTAAACTGTGAAAGATAGTTTTCTCTAAATGTGTGGGGCATCTCTTTATTGAAGTGCTTTAGTCAAAGCAGTTTTATTTTCACCAAACTTCAATCTTTACGTAACCTGACAGTTTCTCATCATCTCATCACATGTCTCATGTAATGATTTCCATAACATAATGCAATCTGCCAGACTGTATTCAATAATACAGGAAATATCTAACAGAAGAGTCTACTAGCCAAAAAGATGAACACTGATGCAGACCTACATACATACTGTTCCTACACACATCCTGATCGGTCACACATTCTCACAAAAATATCCACACAGGGTCACTGTTCCTTGTTTTCAATGTTCAAGTCTCTTGATATCGCCTCTTTCCCCTGCAGCAGTCAGCAGTGAAGGCTGGCTAGCTGTGAGGCTGTTGATCTGGAGGTTTGTAGGAAGAGAGCCCTGACTGAAACTAGATACTCCGCTGACAAGTTTCAGTCGTCTGTGGTCTCCAACACACTCTGGCTCAGCGCTAGGTCCCAGTAGTGTTCAGTGCCGTGCTTCTTGAAGTGTTCTCTGGCCATGCTCTCTGTGGGGCACTGCTTGAACTTAATCTCTCCATAGCTACGCTCTTTAGCTGTTCCCTAAAGAACCAAAAGGAATCATTACACTTGAGCAACATCACAAAAAACAAATTGTAATTAAAAGTGAGTACGCAACAGAAGGCAAAATGTTCACTCACCTCCCAAATCAACCAACACTTGTTGTTCCTCTTCGTATCATCATCACCATCTGGATCTAATTAGGAATAAAAGGCAGAGATTTTCATCTCACTAATATACTGTATATGCTTGCATTTGCATAAAGAATCAAAATTCAAAACAATCTCACCATCTCTCTTGCTGTTGTGTTCCTCCCATTTGATTCTGTGCATCATCAGCCTCTTGAACTTTTTCTGCGATTTGGGCCCTAAAAGGAAGGAGAAATGTAGACTTAGGCCCAATTCCAATCCAGTCCTCTTCTTATTCTATTCATTGTTTTGAAATGAAGGGTCTAATACATTAAAGCACTATTTTAAGCCAACTACTTGTAAGTCCCAAAGAGATTTGTCTCTCCTCCTGGGATTAAGCTGCAGATCTTTCATTTGTGGGGCAAACGCATAAACCCCAACACTATGGAGCCGCTCATTCCATGACAGTGTCAAAGTAAATAGCTCTTCTGGTAAATTTGTACATCACTTTATATATATTTTATGAAAGTGCTTCCTAATTTATTCATTGTTTTTATTTTTGTTGTGATGATGCACTGGCAAACTGTCCTTTGTACACCACCTCCCACCCTGTGTTAGCAGAGATAGGCCCTTACATTACTTTGACTTGGATACATCATTAAAATGCTAATAGTGAATAATAATAATTTTAAAAGAGATACGAATGTCAAAAATTAGGAGGATTTCAGAAACGCTGTTTTAAGCGCTAGGCACATTTTTTAGTAAACTATGGATATGAATGCAAACTTAAGAGGTTGTGGACATGGACTAGCAAAATGCATGTAGAAGAGGGTAAGAAGCAATACATAAAGAAAAACTTTATTGCTTGACTGACGTGTTTTTGACTTGTAGCTTACATCATAAAACAATTCAGACAACTTTTTATGACCTTAACAATCTAACTGTAGTATGTTGAAGATGACACGGCCAAACAGAAGGAAAAGAAGGACCCACAGAGACAATTTATGGATGTAATGAAGGAGGACATGCAAGGGTTGGTATGACAGAGGAGGATCCCTAGGACAGGGATAGAGGCAGATGATCTGGTGTGGAGACCCCAAAAGGGAGCAACCAAAAAGATGAGGAGGAGGAGAAGCACAAAGCGTGCAGCTGTCTATCCCAAACCTTCATTATGAAATCCTTTAGCAGCCCCAAATGTAATACACCGAGTAGTGGATAGAACAGACCTTAAACTCTGACTGTGTTTATCCCATTGCTTTAATTTCTGAAGCAGTACCAGGAAAGAAATTTTGTAGAACCCAATTAATTGCCTTCTACATGATTTCAGTAGTTTAGAACCAAAGGGAACAACTTCAAGAATTAAATGATTACGTTCATACACTGGGCTCTCACTAACATTTCACACCCTAGCAGTTAGGCAAATTAGAAGTGGGGAAAAGCTTGTGATTAAGGGCTCACGAGCAGCTTTATAACAAATGATCTACAGATTACTTTTAAAAAGAGCTTTGCAGAAACTTCAGGTTCAGAATAGACAATTTTTATTTGCATTTCTGGTTCTCATTCTATATTCTAACATCTATATTTGCACATGCAAAAGTAGATAGTAAATGTCTGGAAATTTGCATAGCTTAACAAATAGAATTCTAGTCAAAAACCTTTTCATAAAAAGAAATACATATAGCTGTACAATTTTTATGGAGATGGGCGGTATAAACGGTATATGGTAGAGACGATATAAATTTGGCCAACGGTAGAGATTTTGACTTCACCCCTCTACTGCTATAGCGCATGTTGAGGGTGTCATCGAGCTGCACCTGTTTTGGTCGAAAGCATTGCAGTGGCTACAAACAACATCATCTGCAAATTACTGCGCTTCCTCCACTTCCATACCGTTGATTCATTAATGCTGAATTCTCTCGCCGCTGCTCTATTCCCATGTTGTTGCAGTATATTAATGACTAACCTCGTATTGTGGATGGATTATCTCAGTTGTTCTCCTGACTGAAGTTTGGTCCGTTTATAGCATCCTGCCATGCAATTGCATTTGTCCCTAACCACCAGAATCCCTCACGTTAACTTTTATCAAGTGGGGAAAAGTTAGCGTTCATCCTTCAGCTTCACTGTGCTAAAGTTATGCTAATGTAGCTGTTTTGTTAGCGATCACGTAGGACATCATTATATACCAGCTAGTCCGATTTCAGTAACCCTACAAAAGTCACTGCTGTTTACTTTTCTGTCTTAATTTATGTTGAAAGTGATAGAAGAGCTGTACGTTTTAATTTTTTTTTATTAATCTCTCAGTCAGAACATGGCATATCATGTTTAGGTGGAAACTAGCAAGCTAACTTCCTGCTAACTTCTAACTCCGTTCAGTTTAATAAATTCTGTTTTCATGGATGCCTGGATGTGTTGCTGCTTTATCAGGTGTAACAATTAAGTTACACCTGATAAAGCAGCAACACTGATCATTTTATTAAAGATGAAATAATTTAGACAGTTTTTAATTCTCAGTGATGCCGCAGTGTTCTTTTGAGTTTGGGACCTGTTTGGGACCTGAAGAGAGGGAGTTTTGGACCCACATTACTCTGCAAGGCTCCTGACTACGGTAGCCGTAATACTCCGGCAATCCATCAAGCAGTGCACCTTCCTAGCTTACCAAAGTCGTACTAAAACATTTTTGACAGATTTCTGCGCACCGTGTAACACATAAAATCGGTTCAAGGTCCGTAAGCACAACCAGAATTCATACATAAGGCACACTGTCAATTTTTGAGATAATTAAAGGATTTTAAGTGTGCCTTATAGTGTGTAAAATATGTTATACAAAAGAAAAGAATATATATCGCGATATATATCGTTACCGCACATGCTTCAAATTATACCGCGATATGGATTTTAAGCCATATCACCCAGCCCTAGAGATCGTTCATGAGAGCAAACCAATGCAGAATCAGAAATGTATCTATAGATACAAGAATCTGTTCATTAAGGGCTAAGTGACACAGCTTAGAACAGTTGGAGACTCACCAGCAGTTGCTGGGAGTCACAAGGTGGCTCTGGTTACAAAAAGGTATACTGTGCAGCAGCAAAAACATTCTTGTGACTGCTTTAGTTACTAACAGGCTGCTGCAGTTGCCTGTAGTTTGCATGGATGAAGCCAACTTGTCTGCAAACGCTTGCTAAACACTCTGTGAGGAATAGGGAAACTTGAAAATTGTTTATTACATTAAGGGTAATAAACAATAAAACATGTCTTGGCATCTGTCGGTGTCATCACTTACCTCCTTCCACCACAACAATGTTGACATCTTTGTGCAGAACAACTGTGCCTGTCAGGTATAGCTGGTTGGCATTGGCTTCCACTTTAAACTTCTTAGAAGGATTTTGCAGGTTTCGAATCCTGAGTAGGGAAGATGCTTAAATCAGTCACACTTCCTAACAAACATACTTAGCATTATACATTTTACTATTAACTACTGTATTGTACTTATGAGCTCGCTCCCTTTAAACACACACCTGTACACTGCGATGTGAACACCATTAGTGAGGTCTTCTTTTAACTTCTTGACCTTCTTCTCTTTTCTTTGCTCTGCTGTGAGCTTGCGAGCTGCATTGGCCTCCTCGTGGGCCCTGAAATGCAGAGGGCAATGTTAGACAAAACCTAGGGAAAGCCTCTGCAAACATAAACAAAAGAATAAATATGGAAATTATCTGTGTTACTGACTTTTGCCTCTTGGCCATCTGCGCTCTAACATGTGCTTCTACTTTTGTGGGGTCCTGAACCGCCTCCGTCCCCAAGACTCTCATCAGGTTGGAGATCCGCACTGAAAATAATCAAAGCAAACATCAGTTGAATTCTGTTTAATCTTTCATTATAATAACTTTTATTTATTGTGGTGATTTGTACATGCGTACCTTTGGGCTCTGGTGGAGGCATCAGTCCTAGACGAACCTTCTCTTGCAATTCTTTCTGTCCTTCCCTCCGTGTCTGCCGTCTAAGTTTCTTTTGTTCTTTCTTCGTCAAGTATACACCTAGAGTTACTGGCTTATCTGTGTCAACTAAAGGGGAAAAAAGAAAGGAATATATAACAGCTAGTGA